CGGTCCGCGAGCATCCAGACCCAGTGCTTTCCTGCGGTACACCCCAGCCCGGCGCCTCCCGCCCCCTCAACGCATCCTCGCTCTTAGGCAGTCCCTTCCTCTGCATCTCAGTCTCTCAGCTTTGCTTTCTGTGGAGCATCCCTCTCTGCCCCACTCGCCTCACCCTATCAGAACCTGCCTGTCCCGGAGCCGCCCGTCCCGCTCTTCGGTGACAGGTGCAGTTCCTTGGCGCTCTTGGGGGCTGCCTCTCAGCGTTCTTGACCCACCCCTCCGCAAGGCATCCAGTCTTCCTTCCCTCCCGAGAGTCCCAGCTTTCCCCCACCCTCGCCGGGCGGGGCCAGGCGTTGGGAGCTGCCCCTGGTCCTGACTGCTGCTTATCTGAACAACCTCCCTCCTCCCGGCCCCGCCCCGGAACTGGCCCTGGAGAGGCCCCTAGGAGCCTTGCAGCGCCCCTTGGCCAGTGGGGCAAAGGAGGGAGTCAGGGCACAGGCCCTGGACTGAAGCTAAAACCAAGAGCGGGGGTTTCTGCGGCTCATCTCCCATAGTCCCCGTCCCAACCTGCCCCCTTCTCTTTACCCACACCTCCAGACCTCTCTGGTTCGGTGATTCTCAGACCTCTCTCCTCTAATCCCCCCGCAGCACTGCCACAACCCTGACCCTCAAAGGCAGTAGAACAGGCTAGCCCATGCAGAAAGCAGGACGCTCAAGGATATTCAGAGCCCTATTGCACTCTGGAGATCTCTCACACCTACACATGCACTTAGAAGCACAATCATGAGATGTGTGTACACACATCTTAAAGAAACTGTACCTCCTCCACATATAGGCACACTCTATCCACGCGTGAACATGCACACATGCTCTCACACACACACATACACACTCACACAGTGGGGTAATTGGATGTTTCTGTCAGAAGATGGTTATGGGCTCATTGAAGCATTAAATCTTTCTCTTACCCCACCCTCCACACAGGAACTGTCTGGCAGTGTGCCCCTTTCATATGCAAGCCAGCACTCATTCACACTTCTCTGTCCCCACTAATGTCATATTCAGACTCCCTGGCATCATCAGAAGACAAGCATACAGCCATAGTAAAGAGCAGATTCTTATGCCCAGACCACTTAGGGTACAGTCAGGGGACATTCCCATATCCACCCCCAGCCCCACACACACACATACACACACACACACACACACACACACACACACACACACACACACACACACACACACTGACTCACTGTGTATGTTGATAGTTGCTGTAGCACATGGGTGGGAAAAAATCTTTCACACTTTCAGAAGTGTAAGATACATGCTCCCACAGACAGTGTCATTCAGCAACTGTCTCCTGACTAGGGGACACTGGGAGCCAGAGTTTTCTCCTTACTGTCTTCCAGTAACAAAGTCACCCAGAAAGGGAAAGTCTCTGCCCCATACCTCCCTGTCCAGCAGTGCCTATTTGCCTCTATTTCTCGCCTCTCATCTGCTACTTCCTCTCTGGAGAGTGGGGTGGGGAAAGGGGATAAGAGAAGTTCTGAGCAGGTCCCTCCCATCTGCAGACAGCATCCGGAGGTGCCTGAGCCAGGGGGCTGTGCTCCAGCAGCATCGTGTGAAACTGGAGACAAAACCCAAGAAGTTTGAGGACCGAGTGCTGGTGAGAGCATTGGTCTCAGGGAAAGAGAGGAGATATACAAGGGCAGATAGCTGAGCTGTAGGGAGGTGGGCAAGAGAAACAGTTCGGAGTGGTGCTGAGGAGACAAAGCCTAAGGGAGAGGGCAGAACCAAACTGGGTTGAGGTAGAGGAGCTGAAGGTAGGGCAGGAGAAATGCAGGGGGGGGGGATCTTGGAGCAGAGCTGAAGAGCTAAGAAGAGGCAAAGGCACCATGGCCCAAGAGGTTACCCTAAGCTGTTGACGCTCTCCTCTTCAGGCCCTGACCTCCTGGCGCCTCCACCTTTTTCCCCTTAAAGTTCCTGCCAAGGTAAGTTGGGCTAAGGAGTGGGGGGGATGCCTAGCATGTTCCTTTCGAGTCTAGTGACAGGTCTTTCCAAGAGCTGACCTCCCACCCCACCTGTGCCCCACCAGGTGGAGAGCTCATTCAATGTCCTGGAGATCCGTGCCTTCAACACACTCAGTCAAAACCAAGTGAGTGCCAGGTTCAGGCCACTGCTGGGCAAACTAGAAGAAGGCCTGGCTATCTATCTGAGGCTCTCCCTCCCCCTCAGATCCTGGTGGAGACTGAGCGTGGCATGGTGAGCATGCGGCTGCCGTCAGCTGAGAGCGTGGACCAGGTGACACGGCATGTGAGCTCTGCCCTCTCCAAGGTCTGCCCTGGCCCTGGGTGAGTGGCAGATAAGGGGTCTCCCAAAGGATTAGACTGCAGGCAGATCTTTCCTTCATGTTGGTCTGGGCTTCCAGGACAAGAATGCTGTCTCTGCTCTTCCATGGAGAGTCCCACGCCACAATCCAGGGAGAACTGGGAGCCTCTTATTCCTCTCTCTGGAATGATTTGTTCATCTTGCAGGTGTTTGATCCGGCGTGGAAATGCGGACACCCCAGAGGGGCCCCGAGACACATCTCCCAACTCTGAGACTTCCACGTCTACCACTCACAGTGTGTGTGGTGAGCAGGGGCATACATGAGAACAAGGGTCTCAGAACATCCTGCCCCATATCCAGCGCCCTCTGTGCATGGGTTTTGCCTGAGGGGCCTTTGCCTGTCCTGAGGACCTCGGGCTCCCGGACTTCAGGAGGTTTATGGCATGGAAGGAACCTAGGACACTAGCACATGCAATGACCTTGACCACACCTTGAAGCCTGAGCCTATTTCCCATCCCCCTCAACAACATGGAGCCAGCCCATCTCCTGCCCTACAGGTGGCTTCTCCGAGACCTATGCTGCCCTATGTGACTACAATGGACTACACTGCCGTGAGGAGGTGCAATGGGTGCGTTGGGCAGGGACTTGGCAGGGGATAGGTGGGGTCCAAAGGGAGGGGACAGAGGAGGGGCCTGAAGCAGATGTGAGCCACTTCCACCCCTCCAAGGATGTGGACACCATCTACCATGCTGAGGATAACCGAGAGTTCAATCTTTTGGATTTCAGCCACTTGGAGAGCCGGTAAGCAGATGGGCGGGAACTTAACCCCAAATTCCCAGCCTTGGCCTTGCCCTTCTCAGGTTCCCCTTCTGGGCCTACCCACAGCCCCTGCTTTACCCCTGAAATTCCAACCATCTGCCCCCACTGCCATCCACCCATCTAGCTTTCCCCAGCCCAACCATCCCATTCTTAGTCTCTTCATTCTTGCCCTGGTTCATCCTTCCTTGTCCTATCCAATATCCGCAGAGATCTGGCCCTAATGGTGGCAGCCCTGGCCTATAACCAGTGGTTCACCAAACTCTCCTGCAAAGACTTGAGACTGGTAAGAACAAGGACTCGGGGAAGGGGGACAGAGTAGTGTTCTTCTTGGCTCCTGATTGCGGGACCCCTCTGTCTTCAGGGCTCAGAAGTGCTAGAACAGGTGCTACATACCCTCAGCAAGTCGGGGAGCCTCGAAGAGCTGGTGCTGGACAATGCTGGGCTAAAGACGTGAGGCCAGGCTCCTCCGTGGGCAGTACTTTCTTCATATAGTTTTAGAGTCCCAGAACAGCAGAGTATGATGAGGCCCTGGGCTACTTCATCCAGCTCCTCACTTTGTAGAAGAGGCTAATGCTTAGACAGGCGCAAAGCAAGCCAGGGGTCAAACTGGGACTCACATCTCCAGCCCCAGTTCCTGACTTATCCCCAGAGCACACTTCGTGTCCCACCAACTTCCAAGCAGGGTGACCTGCTCCGGGCTTAAGAACCCAAAGCTGGGCTTGGCCTCAGCATGTCTTCCTGAGGTATGGAATGCCCATAGATGTGGAATGCAGGATGTAGCCCCACCTTCCACCGCCCTCAAACTCCTACTCGAAAATCTTCCTGGTCAGCCCCAAGTTGCTCCTCTGCCGTGGTGACCTCTAACATTATAGCCCCCAGCTAGATAGGCAGATAGGAGATGGGAGGGCAGCTAGGGGCTGGAGACTTGGGGCTCAGCTCAGGACAAATCCTTCCTCCCCTTCCCTGAAGGGACTTTGTCCAGAAGCTGGCCGGGGTGTTTGGGGAGAACGGGAGCTGTGTGCTGCATGCCCTCACTCTGTCCCACAACCCCATCGAGGACAAGGGTGAGCCCTAGCCCTGAATCCTAACCCACT